GAGAGACATGAAGTCAAAGGAGGGAGAAAAGGGGTAAGGAGAGGAAGAGGAGGGTTGAAGTGATAATTCTGGCACTTAAGGCTTCGCTGGCATTCAGTCCACACATCCTCCCTCTCTGCTTCCTGCCATGTCTTCTCCCATCCCTCCCTCACCCTCCTCTTCTTCCATCATCCTTCTCTCCCCCAAAACACCATGATCAATACCTCTCGTCTTCCTTCCTCCCCCCCAGCATCAAATGTACATGAGGGGGGGGGGCAGTAATTAGACACATTGGTGGACATTAACACCTGAACCCTGCAGCACAGGGACACACAAACACACAAGCACACAAACACACAAACACACAAGCAGATTCTTTGCTTCACTCGTTTGTCTGCATTCATTCTTGCAGCACAATATTTGATTCGAGAAGCACACATGCACACACACACACACACACGCACACACACACACACAGGCATGCATCTTTAAGAGTGTGGGACAAACACACACTTCGGAGATGAGGGACTAAGAGAGAGCGTGTCCTGGAGGGTTACAGGTGAAAACACCAAGTGTAAATGTTCCAGAAATTATTTTTAATTAATTAAGTCTAAGTGTGTTTGTGGCATCTTAATAAAGCTGCACAGATTTCTTTGGGCCACTTGGGGGCAGATGAAGACCACGTTTAAAAAACCCGGTCTTCTTATCATGACGGACGACATGACAGCCCCGCAAAAGTGAAGCCAAAGCATCTGAATCACCCCCTGGTGGCTGGCGAGTGTATAGTCCCCAAACCCCGCCTCCTCCATGTTTGCAAATGACACATATAAGTCGAAAGTGGTTTCTGTCATTTTAGGTCGTTCTCATCACATTGATGTTTGTTTGAAATGTCCACGTTTGGTTTCATTATATGAAAAAAGGGTGAAACGTCCTGATTGACAGCTGAGACTGACTTGTACGTTTACATTCTTGCAGCTCAACATATGATTCGAGAGACACACACCAACACTATGAGCTAACGGAAGCTTTCCTACTGTGTGTGACCCCATCTCCATTACATGTAGTAAAATAATGCATTCACTATTAATAAGGAGCCACCAACTTTATACAGTATTGATTTTTTTCTCTCAAACACTGCTGAGCTTCACGGTCCAAAATATAATATATAATATAATGTAATATAATGATGCAGCAAGAAAAAAAAACCTGTGACAGCAAATTTCTAGACATTTTTTCTTTGGTAAATTCCTGAAACTGTGATATTTTTTGACAAAGAGGTGAATTTAACAAAAAAGGGGGGAAGGTTAACTTGAGGAGATTCCACACATTGCATGGAATCTCCTCCTTTCTCTTCCTTCGGCTGTGTCCACATGTCGTCACCAGCTAAACTGCTGCTGTCACCGTTTGCACATATCTTTGCATTTTCTTTCTAATCTCTATTTGACTATTAAACAAATGTGTTCACAGTACGTGTTAAGTCTGAAATCTATAGAATAAAGCTGCTTTCAGACCTGCACATAAATGACTTAAACTATGATCTAATTAATGTCAGTCCACAACTCAATCGATTACACCAGCACTACATTTAACCTCTGCTACGACACTGTTTGTCCTCACACGTCCCTGTGAGGACTTAACACAGGGTCTCATTATTCTAATGGATCTTATGTAACTCTGTTCAAATACTCAGCTCTTTTCTGGACACGTCATAAAAAAACATTTCTCAGTATCTCTGTGGTGTTCTGCCAGACGCAGCAGATTTAAGTTGTTCAAATGTCCAAATTAAAATGGGCTAAGTGTTGCGATGAGGCAGATATAATTAATAGAGCCGTAACGATTCAGCTCTGAAGCATCCTCTCAGTTTCCACGTGACAAACTGTCATTAAAGGCCTCTCCTTCACACTGTTGGCTGTCACACCTCGGATGATGCATAGGAAGTAATAACCCACAGCTTAATATATCGGGGAAACCACTGTACGTGATAGATCGCCGGTTAAAACGGTGCAGTGTGACACTTAAATTAGCCCGTCTGTCATTTTCTCTGATATTTATAACACATCAATGAATTCAGTCAGTTTCTCTTGTGAGCGTTTGCATCTAGACGACACAAACAACTGGAGAAATATTATAAACGGTGGATACATGTCTCCAACACCTTTACTGCAGAGTTCAATTAACTCAGCGGTGCTGCTTTAATGCTTCACTTGATCTGTGGCCTACAAAAAGCCTCCCAGGTGTAACAATATGAATACGGCTCTGATAATGCGGCCGTATTACGCTCGGTGTGCGAGTCTGGCTGCATGATGCACTTAAACAAAGAGACTTATTGGTGGAAGTTAAATACCTCAGGCTGCAGAGATCACACAGAATATCGTCATGTTAAATTAATACATCTTCAAGTATTAAAACATTCACACAGCCTTAGGTTGAACGCTGTGAGTTGCATTATGGGAGGTTTTTTTTCAACATTAAAGACAAAGTCACCTGGGATGTTAGTGAGAGGACTGCAGTGGAGCCGAATCGATTCATCAGTAGATTCATCTTGGTGATCCATTAATCATTTAAGTGATTACTCAAATTTAAATCACTCTCTGGTTGGAATTTTTTTATGTTTTTCTCTGTTTTACATCATAGTTCTTAATTTTGGTTTCTCTGTTGATCGCCCACTTGAAATGTTGCACAGACGATCGAGCTCTTTCGAATAAATCTTACTGATGTTAGATCCCCTGACTCGTCCTCTAGCACCACCGTGAGGTTCACATTTATTTTTTAGTGGAATTTTGAAATTGATTGCTGCTGCACACATTGGTTATCCCCTAAGGATGAATTTTAATAACTTTGGTGGTTCACTTATTTTAAATTAGTCCATTACCTTGGTTTATGATCTGGTAAATACCTGCAAAACTAATTACATTATCATCACCTTCAGCTATACTTCGGACGGCTGTGGCTCAGGGGGTTGAGGGGGTAGTCCACTAATCAGAGGGTTGGTATCTTGATCCACATTTCCTCGAGTCTGCACGCTAAAGTGTCCTTGGGCAAGGCACTTGATATTTATTTTCTGGATGCTGTGAGGAAGTAAAGACGCAGAATATTTTCCCTTGAGGTCTGGTTAGCATATTGACGTTGTTTTGTTTTAGTGTAGATCAGGTAACGAGTCATTCGAAGACACAACCTCAGGCATTTTTCACAATTTGATCAATTCTATAGATTAGTTTTAAAAACAACATGCAGCTCAGACAAAAAGTCACACACAAGCAGTTATCTTTTGTGCCTTCATGCAGCAGAGATTCAGACATCCATCATCCTTTCAACTGGTGCAAACAAAAGAGCGACAGTCAGCGGAGAGTCCCGACAGGCAGAGACAGATATCGCCTATCTCCCATTAGCCTGCAGGGGGTGGGGTTTACATTGTTCAACGGGCCTGATCAAGTTGATCCTCTATGTTCAGGGTCTCATATTTACATTGAATAGAAGCCATGAACCCAAACAACAGCACAGTGCTGTGAAGAGAGAGCAAGAACACACTCTCCTCTTGTTTGTCAGAGTGATCCACAGCAGAGTGACGCCTGTTTTTTATTTCTCCAACAGCTGACACACACACAGAGAGAGAGAGAGAGAGAGAGAGAGAGAGAGAGAGAGAGAGAGAGGCCAGTGAGTCTTTGGGGACGAGACGTCCAGCCTGTCATGCTTCATGCCGGCCTCCTGCCCACAGCCTCGTCTGCAGAGCTAGCCCTGTTAGCTCCGACAGCTGTTATCACAATAACTGAGATAAATCGATAACACAACAACACAGGCGGGTTTGAACAGATGGACTCACACACACTCACACAGACACACACAGATACAAAGCTCTGGCACTGCACACATGGAAATGTACTTGCAGTGACTTCTCTGATGAAGACACACACCTCTGCTGCTACAGGGCTCAGACTATGTTGACTAGATTTATCTCAAAGATCAATTGGATTTCAAAACAAAATGCTTATTGGCAGAAAGCTCAGTCAAAGCTAATTAATGATACAGTATTACGAGTATTACGTTATTATGATTCTCGTCATAAGTAAAAGCAATACCACTGAGTAAAAGTACAGATTACGAGTAAAAGCATCTGAATATTAAACAGAAACATCTGACTCCACCCTCTGCTCCCGCTCCCCGTCCCAGACTTACCTCTTCTTGATGAGGTCCATTGCTGAGCCAATGAGTCCATCCTTCATCTTGTAAATCTTGGCTCCGTAGCTGGACAGGTCAGTCCCCTCCAGAAGGAGCGCCGGGCAGCAGCTGGAGGGTCGGTCCCAGTTCCCTCGGCTGTGTGGGAAAGGAACCGACCGAGCTGGTTCCAGACTGCTCCTCCTGCGCCTGCTGCTGCTCCCATCGTCTCCTCCTGCGGCGAGGGCTTTCTCCTGGGCTGAGCTGGCGAGGGGCGGTAGGGGTGAACGCGGGGACGGGCCTGTGCAGATGGGAGAATAAGTGCTGGTAACAAAGGCTAAGGAAGAGGTGGGGTCTGCAGTGCCGTTACTGTTCACAGTGTCCGAGGGAAGTTTCTCTGAGGTGGTGATGGTCTGCAGGTCTTCATCACCTGTGCTCTTGTCTCCCTCCACCTCCTCAGAGTCTCTACGAGAACCTGACTGAGGGACAGTCCCATCAGACGGAGCTATCTCAATATTTGTTGCTGCTACATCCTGCAAGTCGGCCGCAGGTTTTCCAGATACCACAGAACCGGCTGTGGACTCCTTGCTCTGCTCTCCCTCCCTCTGCCTCATCCTCTTAAACTCCTCAAACGTGGGGATATGTAGACGTCCCACAGGAGGCCTGCGGCACTCAGACGCAGAATCCGATCCGTTCCTGTTACCCACGATGTTGTCGGTTGTGCTGGATGTTTTAACCACTTCCGGGGTAGTCGGGGAGCTGTGGAGAGTGAGGTTGGGGCTGCTGTTCTGTCGCCGCAGCTGCAGGCGCCTCAGGACCTCCTGCTTGATCTCCTCAGGGTTGGTGATGCGCATCGTGCACAGCGGCCTGGAACCAGCAACTGTGGAATTCAGGTGATGCCCACCCTCTTTTTCGCTGGATGTAGCACTAGGGGTCATCTGAGGCCGCAGTGGGAGGGGCTTCAGAGACTCGACTGCTGACCTTGCACTCTGGAGGCGGAGTTTCTCCCTCAGGCCTTTCCTGGCATCCCATTCGTCAACGCCACCTGGAAATAGCAACTGGGGGAAGAGTGGCAGGTCCTTCCTGGGTAGCCCATGTCGAGGGTTAAATGCCAGGCTCTCCGGGTTAGGTAGCAGTCCACGGGCCCCCATGACAGATCCGTCTGGGGGCCCGTCATACCAGTGGCTTGTGGCTGTATAGCTCAAAATAAACTCACTGTCCATGCTCCTATAGGGGGCAGCACTGAATGCACACAGGCCAGAATCTGCCATATTGTTCCAGTTCAGGTTCTCCATACTCCTGTAGGGCCTGCTGCCATTGCTTCCTGCGTGGCTGCAGGAGCCCGGGGCCGTCCCCTGACCCAGGCCCACCCCCAGAGGGCCCTGCCTGCTGGAGCAGTACCTCAACCCCAGGTTAGTGAGCAGGGTGCTGCTGTTACACCTGGCCATGAGAGGGAAGGGAGGTCCATGGAGGCCCGGGTAGTGAGGAGCGCCGGGTCTGTGTCGGGGGAAGGAGGACAGCGGGTCCGGGGACAGGGGGAGGTTGGCGATGCAGGGCTCCATGTCGATAATAACGTCCAGGGGAGAGGTGCAGCCAGCGGAGGGCAGACAGAGGCTGCAGCAGAAGACGTGGCGGGGTCGTCACATGCTGATGGAGGCCTCACGTCTGGCATGGCTGTGGGCTGAGCCAGCGGCACTCAGACACACAGTCAGAAGGTACGAGGATCCGCAGCCTGCAGGGACCAAGACAGAATGTATGAAGATAAGATGAGAGATACAAAGACGACACAGACATTTATGAAGACAGAGACTGAGCCTGTCTCACATTCTCTCACTCTGTTCTCATCTTGTTAGTATCAGTATGTAAGGAGATATGACATATTCACTTTTTAATATTTTTGACACTCTAAGGTCAATAACCTTCATCTGTGCTACATGCAACATTCATCTTTTAGTGGCTGCAGCTTTTGATAAAACAGAAACTATTTCTTTATTTGTGCATCGTTTTACAGATAAAATTGCTTTAAAGATGGTTTCATCACTTGATTTATAACATGGGTTGAAACTAAAATGATCTTAACGTGAAAAATAAAATCAGAGAATTAAGTTTATATATTTATTTTATATCAGCATATAGATCAATATCACATTTTCTTGGTGATATTAATTTCAGAAATACCACGTTACTCTTCTGAGACTCTTTAATGTCGGTATATCTCTGAATCCACAGGTCAATAACTTCAGCCACATGACAGATTCTCCCACACACACACACACACACACACACACACACACACACACACACACACACACACACTCTGGAATATTGGACAGTCACAGCTTCACTGCCTTTACCAGAATAATTACATTCATTTTTATATAAATGGCTTCCTGTCTACCCCCTCAGGCTTCTTTTCATTTTTTCTTTCTCCGCAGCAAGAATAATAATAGAGGGATTATTGCCCTGCTTGTCAGGCTATTAAAACATGAGATTGAGAAGCAGATACAGAGACAGACAGTGACAGGAAGAAGAAGAATTAGAAAAAAGGATGGAGAGCTGGTAAAGGAGACGAAGATGACACACAGAAAGAGGAAATGAGTGTGACGCTATAGAAAGCAGTAAGCTGAGGGGACGGTAATGAAGATAACTGCTCGGCTGCTCGCTGGCGGCCGGCTCGCCTCTCTCTTCCTGATTAATCAGACAGCAGCTGTAGATTTGCTAGAAGGAGAGAGCGAGGCGGGACAAGGTGCACCGCCGCTATAATGAGTACAAATAACATGTCGGCTGCTCCACCCAAACACCCATCATCCGTATCTTATATTTTGTCTGCATCACAGTCGGCGTCGCAGGCTTGTGATTATGACTGTGATTATGAAACAGGGACTCACTGGGCTCATCCCCGATGCATTAGGTGAATAATAAAAGCCAAATCATCTTTAGACCCAAACGCTCCCTAATGCCGGAGCACGAACAGGCCGCTGCACCTCTCTCTCTCTGCAGCTTTGCAATAATGGATAAATCTCCATTCCTCACATGTTGGAGCGAGGCCGAGATCGCAGTTAATCAGTAAAAGCCGTAACAAGCACAGGCGCTTTCCCTCCAAATGCATTTGTTGGCTGTTTATTAAATGAATCGTGCTTCAAAACAAAGGAAAACATTTCTAAATACAAGGACATTAATCTGTCGCTCTAAAATGAATCCTTTCAGCGCTGACGACTGAAACTCAGTGGACGTCAGTTGCATCTCATTTATAGGAACTATAGCATTTCTTATACTTATAGTATTTCTAAAGGCAAGATTGAGATCTCATGTTCAAGAGGCCAAAACATGTGACCTTTAACATGAGACTACCAAAATCCAAACAGTGAAGCTTTGAAACTAAATGTTTATAACACATTTACAGAAATCCCCTCTTGGTACATGAGATGTCAATTAATGAATTATCTTCAATCAATAACATGAAGTGTTGTCCAGAGACAAAAAGAGCTCCATTGTCCAAATTCTATTGTACAAGTATCTCTAAGCTTCACTGATGCACAATTGCTCGACTGTTCCTTCATTATCCAACACACACAAGACAGTTATTTACTCTGACTCCGTTCACCAGTGCACACAATGTGAATCTGCACTGTTTCCTCCTGTGTCAGTAAAAGAGTTTTTATTGATGCGTCCATTCATCCACCCATCGCTTCTTGTACCTGTTGTGTCTCGTCAAATATGTTAAGTTTATTTATGTTCCTGTTTTAAGTTATGTCATGCCTGTGTTTAGTTCATGTCTAGTCGTGTGTGTTTTGAGCACTCTGCATTTAGTTAAACTTCACTCATGTCTAGTCTCGTCGTGCACTTCCTGTTTTATTTTGTACTCAACTCTCGTTTCAGACCCTGACTTCCTCCCTTTGTGTGATTTTCCCGCCTTGGTGATCGTCCTCCCCGCCCCTGATTGGTTTCACCTGTTTTCCCCTTCCTCATGTATAAATAGTCCTCGTCTCCCTTTGTCCTGAGCCAGTTCGTCTTGGTCAGTCCACGAGAGTTTGTTTGCCTTTTCAAGTTTAGGATTTTGTTTGACTCAGTGTTTTGTTATCTTTTTGATCCTCCACGAGAGCGATTCTTGTTTGTTCACTTTTAGACCAGAAATAAACCTGTTTTGTTTTGTTTTCACTACCTGCTTGAGTCGTGCATTTGAGTCCACCAGCGTTCGTGTCTGAGGTCGTTATCCCGATGGGCTTTTACCATAAAACTACCCAGTGGTCATAAGAACCAAATTCCATGGCAGTTTTTTTATAGATTGTTGAAACATTTCACTAAGAATAAAAATAAATGTGAATGTCATTGCTAAATGAAGAGTCAGGGCGTCGCCAACGTCGGTGCTGATAATCGTCTGACTGTCAGGGTCAGCCACAGAGCGACGTCACGAGCAACATTCCTCCTCAGCATCTTATACGAAATATGAAAGGAGTGACTATCACGGTTAAACCAAAGAGAGGAAAAATACCTGATAGTTAGATTTATATCATCTGTGTTCATGAAAACCCTCTAAGGTCAATTTATAAGCAATTATCATCCATCCTTCCATTACACCGCTCATCCTTCAAGGGTGAAGCGAATCCCAGCTAACATTAGGTGGGAGGCGGGACACACTATATGACACAGGGTCAGCACACCAAGACAAACCATTCATTCTCATATTTACACCTACGAGTAAATGGTGGTTGTTCTTCTTCTCTGTTCAGAAGCGTGGTCTTTCAGTTTGAGAGCAGGAGAACGTTTTTTTAAATGCTTACACTCAAAACCCTGTGGTCGCACTCAGATAGTCCCTGCTTGTGGAAACATCTGCTTGAACTAAAACTGTGCACTTGCACTCAGATATTTTGTTGCAGGAGAACGGCTGAAACGGAAGCTGCAGCAGGAGCACAGGAAATCTGTCCGAACAGTTAAAAAAAAATGAGCACAAGCAGAGCAAATCTAATCTGGGCCTAATTGAGTGCGAGCACAGGGTTTTGATCTGAGTGTGAAATCAATAAGTCCTCCTCTCAAACTAAAAGTAGAGAACAAATTGAGAAACTTCTGACTTAAAGTCTCCTCACATGTGCGTTTTAACATGCGTGTGCACAGTTTAAATTGGAGGAAAAGGGCTGATATGTGTTGTTTGGCTTTAATTGGCATGAGCGTGTGTCTGAACAGGAAGCAGCACGCCGCTCAGCACGCCTGCGACTCTCTCACTCTAACTGCCTTTCTCTGTTTGAATTACTGCCAGTAAAACAGCTCGCTGGAGGTCCGCGCTCTCTCTGCTCTCTCCGCTCTCTCTGCTCTCTCGCTGTCATTGGAGCTGACTGTGGAATAACTCATCCCCTACGAGCAGGACAGTAAATCAGCCAGCATGTCCCAGCATGCACAGGGGCTGGTTTTCTCTAAATATAACGGCCGAGTGCGTGAAGAGGGCAGCATCGAAATGAACAAATGAATCTTTAATGTGCCGGGATTCACTGTCGGAGTTTGTGCATTATTAAACGCACTGACAAAATCTACCAGCTTAACGAGTCCTGTTGTGTATTATTGAGCCCTTACAGTTTAAATCACATGGCCAAAAGTATGTGGACACACTGTCTTAGGTTCTTTTGTCTCGCGTCTGCTCTTCCTGCTTCGAATTAGGACTTTAGACAACACTGTGCTTTTAATGTCCCCGTCCACAAAGTCAGATCCATAAAGAAATAATTGAAATCCTGAAACCAGCAGAGTGAGGGTTGTTAGAGCAGATTAATACACATAGCTTTGGGAGAACCACATGATTTACAGTATTTTTTTAAAAACAGCTAAACCAGAGATGTTATATTCAAATCTTCACAGTTTAAATCAATGTCAAGTTTAATTTTTTTCTGATTCTAGTGCAGTGATGCGTCATATTTATGTGATGCTCAAAATCCACTTAGAGTCAGATAATTATGTGTCAGTCAGTTTAAAACTGTTTGAATTAACTCTGGTCTCATTCGACAGTTCCCATTAGATGAGTTTAGTTTTTTCTCAGAGAAATTCTAGAGCACTTCACTGAACTAATTATTTTAGAACCGACCAAATGTTGTATTAGCAAATCAGTTCAGATGAGATACTTCCTATACTTGTCATGTACAAGATGTGGAGGTGTCACAAATATGTGTGCACACATGTAAGTCGTACGTGAGTCAGTATCTGTATTTTGCTCTCGGCTCAGCTCGCCTCCTCTCTGGCTGGGCAGAGGTTACCTAACAGCGAGCATCGTGTTGCAGGGATCAAGTTTTAAAACGACTCCTCCAGTTCCTGCAGCCGCTGGCATCGTGCCGTCTGATCTTCTAAACTTACCCCATTTTAATCAAGCCTTCACTCCGCCTTCTCTCCTCCTACAGGTCATTGGCTTGAATCCCAAAGTGCTCGGCCTCCTCCTCTCCGTCTCCCCTCAGCACGGCGAACTGTCTCGAGCTTCCACTGAGCCAGACAGACAGACGAGGCCCGGAGCTACAGGCAGAGAGAGAGACAGAAGAAAAAAAGGGCATCAATCAATGAGGGGCATTTTATCAACAAAATAATAAACAGCGGCGCTGGAGAGTTTTTTACTTGTGATTGTGAGAGAACCAAAGACTTGAGGCTTGAATAGCAGACGTACTCTGATACTGTAAAACAAACCGTGTCCTCCTTTCACAGATTGAATTAGCCGCTGAGTCAATTACATAATTAGTGTTTCTCTGTCAGGAGAGCGTAGCAGATTACACACACATCACGAGTTTGTACACAGTATGCACGTGTGTGTGTATGTGTGTGTGTGTGTGTGTGTTGATTAGTCGTAGGTTTCTTGAGTTCCTGGAAAACAGCCTGAGGATGAATGTTGTTCATTATATTTCCAAGCAACGACATAGATTTCCATTAAAAAAACCCAAACACGATGTTTCATCAACAGTTTTAAGTAAGAACGGAAAAGAATACCGGTGGAGCTTCCACTTAACAATTGTCAACTATGTAAACTAAATTAAATGAAATTAAATGAACAAGGAAATGTATTCTTGTCAATTAGACACTAAAATAACATATAAATTCAAGACAATTCAAATTAAACATTAATCACTGTAGAATAAATGCTAAATAAAAAAAAATAGATCCTGTCAAATAATGATACATACACATTAATTTAAAATAAAACACTTTCTTTGCTAAACATGCTATATGCTATACAAATAATAATAATAATAATAATAATTAATTTATCTCTGTCAAATAAATGATTAAAAAGGCAAAAATGCCTAAATCTGGATCCATTTCCATTATGAATAACCAACAATAATACAAACAAAGAGCTGCTGCAGTAAATTCACCATAAATTACTCATATTTTCCTTAAAACTTTTCAAAGTAAGAGACACACTCTGGATACACTGACCCCAAGATCATGAACTCAACGACAAGCTGCGTTTCAAAAATGTAGACTTGAAATCTTTCCAGACAATCAAGCAGAGGATAAAACAATAAAGGATAAATGACACACATTCCACACATATCTACACAGCAGACGTGAATGTGAAGTAACGTGATGTAGGGCAACAGGGCGGAACACAAAAGATTCAACTGTGCATGAGCTCAGAGACGCAGCTCACACGGGGAAACTCTCCGCTCGGCAGGAGCAGCAAATAATCAGCTCACGCCGAAAAAACACAACACAAAGAACCATCCCCACCTCGTCTGCATCCTCCGCCTCAACATCCTCCAGCCACACGATGAGAACAGCAACCAAATGTTGTCATTCAAAGCTTCAAAGCACGTGATTCCTGACGTCAGCAACCCCCACCCCCAACCCCTCCACCCCCGGTGGGATGCTGGGATGGAGATTGCTGTGGCTGCATCATCCCAAAGCTTTGACAAGTGGCTGTCACTGAAAGATGAATCCTTCCGACCCAGGAGAGAGCTGCACGACTGACAAAACACCAGAGGACCCCCACCCTCCCTCCCTCCCTCCCTCCCTCCCTCCGTCAGGCTCCTGCCTCGTCTCTGCAAAAATGATCCCACTCGTTTCATTCATTTGTTTTTTTGTCCCTAAATCTGTGGAATTAAAACAGATTTTTAAAGTCAGCTCTCTATTTTCACACTGAGAGACTCCTTCTTCCAGGGCCTCCTCCGGCCTGCAGGGGAACCTCACTGACAATCCCACTGAAACTGATTGGCTTTTCACACAGGGAATGAGAAACTGGCTATCAGCGCTAACTGAAGTGACCCATTTATTTATTTTATTCTTCCCTCTTTTTATCCAGAGAGCGTTTAAATCACTGAGTCGGTTCCCTGCCGCTCTGCTCCGTTTCATCCACCCGCTCCTCTTGAGCGCCTCACAACTTCTGACTGTACAGGGGTGTGAGAGAGAGGGAGTGTGTGTGTGTGTGTGTGTGTGTGTGTGTGTGTGTGTGTGTTGCAGACTGATTGCCTTTTAAACCATATGCAGTGATTATAATGTGCTCCACGGTTTTTGACACTTGTGTTCCTTACAGATATGCAGACTCACGCCTCCTTCTGGTTCAGCTGTGGTGTGTGTGTGTGTGTGTGTGTGTGCATGGGTGCATGTTGTGTGTTCATAAGCCTGTCAGGTTCACACAATCCCTCAGACTCACACACCTTAATACTCTTACCTCCTGACAATGTCATCACTTCATCCATACATGTATGTATCTTATTTAATTTCTGCGGCTCAATAAAAAACAGAAAAGAGGTAAAGATGATAATTCCTCCATTCACTCCACAAACGTCTTTATCCTCCAGTGAGAACAGGATTGTTACAGCGACTAAAAACAACATGATCCAGATAAACACAAAAACACGCGCGTGAAATAACTGATGTCACTGTTAAATTGTTGTCTTGCAGTCAATGATCCACGTATCATATTTAACATAAATACTATTTATTGGCCCAAAACCAGATGTTTAAAGAAATGAAAACAGATATGACACTACGTGATGTTCCATCACACGCTGCTCTCTGGGGTTCAGTACTTTGCCCAAAGACACTTTACAGATTGGATGAGCTGGGAGTTGAACCACATATCAGGTTTGTTTTACTGTATTTGAGGGAAAGAGGAAGGAAATAGTCTTAAACATGAGGGTGTGAGCTTGAGTGCACACACGCTGCGTTTGCCACTCAGCGTGCGGCAGAAGATGGCAGACTGCTGTCCTCACGCTGCGTGCTGGCGTGCAGTCCGGAGTCAAACGCGGCTACAACATCACCGGCTGCTGAGATATTTCCCTTTTAAAAGTCTGAGGTGGCCGGCCACCAGCGAACACTAAACTACAGCCGACTGGTTTCTCTTTTACGAGCCCCTGAAGCCTCAGTAACGAGCTCCTGCAACAACAGTGACTTGCAGTGAGGCCTGGGGGGAAGCAGAGGGTGTAAACGTGAGGGATTCAGCTGAAGTAAGAGCAAACAGCTCAGGAGACGTGAAGTCAGAGTTAACTGCAAATGCAAAAACGCAGCCTGTGCTATCACTGCCTGTATTAAAATATCACAGGGCTCCATTTGAATAACATTTAGCTGATACATGTTCGAGACTGTGAAGCACAACAGGTTACTTGTGGTTTTAAAGGATCCTTCCATACTGCTTGTCTTCTGAGGGGAGCAGACGGACATTTTTGTTAATTTACAGATGAAAAAGAATCACAGATGTGCGCAGTTTGATGCAGATCCAAACAAAAATCCAGATCTAGAGAATTCAAATGCAGCTTCATCAGGGGACCGTTGGGTTGGTGGATGTATGAGCTCTCCCGCTGCCATGAAATTTGGTGTCTGCCGTCTGTAAAAGGTCTCATCATTACTAAGAACGATATTCACTCCACTCAGTGACAGTTTGAATATTTTTATTCCCACTGAACTAGAAGAACAGTTTGTTTGCTCCTGTGGAGTCTGTCAGCTGAAATCCAGTTGTCTAATTTGGATCAGAGACTCTTGCGGAGCACAAGCAGCAAAACCCACATGTTCGCTGCCTCTCAGCAGGACTCGTAGTAGTTTGGGCAAAAATACGGCTAAACACACAGATACCAGAGGAGCTTCAGAGACTGCAGACAGCACAGACGCAGTGTATTTGGACATATTTAGACAAATCAATGAGGTCGTTCCCATTGATTTTTGAGAACTGCCTCCTCGAAATGTGATCTGTGACTCGCCTCACAAACAGAACTCCCATGCAGGGAGCAAACATATTTAACAGTCTCTCCTCTGACTTCATACACATCAGATTTGGACAAAAATATATTCAAATGCATCCAAATCTATTCGGGTGTGTCTGGGAGAAAAAAAAAGCTACTAGAACTGTCTTGTCTGTCTCTCTGTGCGTCAGTCAGATCCAGCAGTGTGCATCCTTATGTCTGTGATAGACTTTCTACATCCTCAGGGCTCAATCTGCGCTCCGTGTCAAGCCTATTGATCGAGATGTTTATCCACCGCGTCTTACACAAGACGACCTGACTCCCATTATCACTATAGACTCCTGCATATGAGCAGGATTTCTGACATCTTCGGCTTGTTGTGAGACTCTGCTGCTGAAACACACACAGGGAAGGAGAGGGTTGCACTGGCACAGGAGTCCAAGAGACGAGGATCCTAATGAAGTGAAGTGCCTCTTCATCTCCTGTCAGGAGGAGGATGGACGGAGGAGGACGGAGGAGGGCGGAGAGGTTAGAGCAGCAGAGGATCAGTGGAGACTGCACATTAACTGCTTCCAGAATAAGGATTAGTTTACTAAATGGCTGAGAAAAGATTAAGGAGGTGAGGAGGTGAGTGAACAGGTACCACAGTTATAGGATGCAGAGCAGATGGAGATGTTAATGTCCTGAGCGGTGAGCTCAAGGTTTGATTCCTGGTCACCTGGATGATTCACCACAAAAACCTGTCTGCGCCACTGTCACTTGAATAAATGTATAAAATTTAAAAAGGGATGAGGTGGGAATCAGAGAGGGCGAAGCAGGGAGGGAGGGATGAGGACGAGGATGAGATGATCGCCTCACAGAAACGTCTCAGAGAACAGAAACACATCATGAGTGCTTGCATGGTTTTAAAGATCAGGAGCTTCTACATCCAGGTAGAGAGACGGTTAACTGGAGCTTTAGATATAATGTGAGATAGTCTTTGAGGTAATCAGTATCCTTAACGATTCAAATGATGATCACAAAGAGCAGCAAAGCAAGATTTGTAACCTGATAAAGCACAAATTGGACGTAAGGACACAAGAAACGTGTGTCTTTCTTTTCAAGGGGAACTCGTTTTGCACATGAACATCTGTTCTCAGGGAGCACTGCTGCAGAGGCAGCTGTGAGAAGACAGACAAACCGCCTCAAGTCAGGAGTTCGGGCTGAAGACAACAGGCTGATGAAAAAGAAAAACTGGAGTTGATTAGAATTGAGCTCATCAGTAGAAGCTACATGAGCTGCCACCAGCAAAACTCAAATCTCCGGTGAACAGTTGCTGAGCAGCTGCATCATGGGTATTGTAGA